ATCACACACGCAGAAATGCAACGCTGTGTGTGTGCACTAAGCTAAGGACGGCAACTCATGTCGCACAGCAGCTGATCACGTCTGATGATTTTAATGTCATCCATCTTGTAAGAGCAGGATTCCAGTTGGATCGGCGCCAGCGCTGCGGCTCCAGCTCCTGATTACGGGAGTTAACTGCTCTTACTTATGCAGGAGACGTACAATTAAAAAATTTCACATCGGATAAGCAGCTCTTGACTCGCTCCGACATCGTGGCCTCCACTTGAGAACCAAGCAGAAAAGGAACCGGCATTTCTGCTCGGATTAATTTTGGGTCCTCTCTCGGCCAAATTACGTGCTGGTTTTCTGTTTCGCCGGGAATTCAGTTTGCTTCTCAAATTTTCAAGAAAATGTTGCTCATCTGGATCAATAATAAAAATGCACATATGAATTGCTGCAAAATCTTGTATTTATCAAGTTTGCTAGCAAGCTTTAACCGATGTTGGGTTACTTGTTCCATAATCAAGACATCACAGATCTTCAGACGTCCTGACCGTTAAGTTCTTGTCACTTACTGCAAGTTCATAAAGAAAAGAAAAAAAAAAAAACTGAACTTTCGTGGCTGCATCTGTAAATTATAGCTCGACACATGTCAAGGTGCCTCTCGGTGCCGTTCAGCCTTCTGATGCTTTCTGTGCCTACCGAGCGTAATTGCACGTTTAAAGGTTAATAATTTGCCTGGTGCCCGAGGCCCTGAAAAGGCAAATGGAAGAGGTGGAATATTAAATGACTACAAAAGCATTTTAAATTGGCAAAACCTGGAGAGGAGGTACTGATTAAATTGTACAGAATAATGAAGAATTTAACCCATTCAGCCGCACACACACGCTTTGCAATCAAAGTGGCGGCTTTCTGTAATTTTCTCAATCAGCGTGCCGACTCGTGCCGCCGCCGCCGCTGAGTGAAATGCATCATCGACGTGGATGGAAGTACGTTCTGAAGCTCTTTTGCATGTATACAGTTAACTTCAGAGTCTCACCTGCAGAAATGTGTTGAAAGCAGGTGTTAACATGAGCAGAAGACCTATCAGGCTGAAGTTGTGCTAATTGGCTGTAATTGGAGGTTTCATCGTTACTCTCATGGAAACTTTCAGCTTGTTTCTGGATAATCTGATGTTTGAATCAGCCGAGTTAGACGTCGATGCATCACATAATAAACACTGACTAATTAGGTTGTTTTTTTCCTGAACATGATTAGAAATAAAGGAAATAAACCGATTTTTTTTTTGAGGACTGCGATACATCTCCATCTCCCTCTGCAGATTTAGCCTGACTTATTACTGGAGTTAACAAGATTTGCTTTCAAATCCTGTTAAAAACATTATCTGTACGTATTTAATCATATAGGCTGGATGACGGCTTCTAGGAAACTCTCTGTACAGTGTAAAGAACACGATGTCGCCGTAGTGAATAATGCGCAGTGCTTTCTATCGCAGCTAGAATGTGCTCTGATGGGAAATCTTAATTAATGTTTCATGTCCGTCCTCGCCGTTTTGAAAAGTAATCATGGAACGCACAATGAGGGATTTATGAAGGTGGCTGAAGGCATCCATGCATACGTTTTCTATACTCGCCTTTACTTTCAGGGGGATGTGGGCGAACTGAAGCTAATCCCAGCCGACACCGGGCGAGAGGTGATGCTCACCGAGAACAGCTCTCCGGTCAGTCGCGGGGTCGACTTATAGAAACAGACAACCGTTCACGCTCTCGTTCACACCTCGGCTGGCGATTTGGACTCACCGGCCACAGTAACAGGTGAGTGTTTGGAGCAAACTGGAGGAAACCGATGCAGGTTGAAACCCAGTGATGAAAGCTTCAGAATAGTTTAGGATGCATGGAACCAAAAAAAAAAAGGTATTTGCATAATTGCATCCATCTCGTCTTCCTGTTGCATGAATGAGAAGACTTGTGGATGTTTTGCTTTTTTATTAGCATGCTGCTGTTGTTGTGAGTCTTTTAGTTTCTCCACCAACGTCTAAAATGAACTTTGAGGGTCAGATTTTATTGACTCAGAAGACTGTGGCTGGGCTCCAAATACTTTTAAGTACTAGTGGTACAACTACCCTCACAAAGTACGCACTGTTTCATGCGTACAAGTGGGTTATGGTACTTCATCCTTGCCTTAAAACTTTGATGCTCTTGGAGACTCGAACTCGTTTTTTACTTGTGCGAGACACTTGGACGTATATATGTGGTGTAACTGTGCAAAGGATTGTGCAGCAGAATGGGAAGAAAAAGCGTGTTGGCTTACTGCAACATGTGGCCAGATGTTGGAGCACAACTGGCTGCATTTGACATACTGTGTATTGGGATCTGTTTAAAAGTAAATGGACTTTTTCATATGAGCTGTTCCAGCTGCTCAATTCTCTTCATCACTACGTAGGTAAACTTTGTTCTTGATTCGTCACAACTTTTGTCCATTTTCGAGCCAATCAGCCCACAGACGCCGTTCTTTCAATTCATTCTAACCGTCGAGGCTGCTAATCGTACATCATTTTTCCTCATCCAGGCGTCTCAGTCATTCCCCACCAGCCATCAGCTAGCTTTGCTCCACCTCTGACCTTCATCTGGGACTCCGCTCGATGGACTTAACCTCCAAAGTACTTAGATCTAGCGTGCCCCCTCCCTATTGAGTGGCTGACTTCTTCATAAGCCATCAAAGTGTATAAGAAGAAGAAAATAAGTTTGCTTTAAAAAACACCACTTTCGTCCTGCCTATTGTCCTCCGTGTTTCTCACATGTGGCCCACATTGCTCTTGGTTTCCCATCGTTCCTTTGCCTTTTCTGCGCTACCCTCAAAGCTTCCTCTTCCCGTTTGCGTCGCACAAAGTCACGACAATCAGCAGCTTGTCAGGCGACACAGCTGCAGCGACCGGACGACTCTTTAGAAACAGGAATCTACTGCAGCGTTTTTCCTCCTCCAGCGAAAAATGTAAAACTTTTATTTAAAAAAAGTAACGCTGTTGACTAGCGAGGGTTGCTCCCTACTGCCCTCTACTGGCCGGCCAACCCTGGTAGTCACGTTCTCGGACGAGAAGCAAAGAAAAAGAAAGTGTGATGTGCAGCCATGGAGTCAATTTACTTGGGATTTACAGTGTAGCCCCCTTCGGGCTACTCGTTTGAACTTCATCCTCTCGCAGCCTTGTCTAGAGTTCGGGGAGTGCGGTGGGAGTCTATATCTTTAATGATGCACATGTGGCCCGCGGCGAGCAGCTCCGCACTGCTTTCACAAACTGTCACTTCCACAGAACGCATTAGTTGACTTGTTTCCCGTCTCGCGATGTAAAGTCATTAATCTTTTAATTCACCAACAGTTTAGGAGTTGAGAAACAAACTCAGCTTATTTCAAGACTTTGTGCACTGATGATTTTCACCGGTAGGCACTTCGCCAGTGTCCTGAGTTGACCTGAGTGGGAATACAACCGAGCAGCAAGCACTGCATTCAGGTATGCTTCAGAACTGGGTCACAGCGCTGACAACACTCTGTGCAACAATAGCTTAACCGGTGGGAGGAATACCATTCAGTATCAACACGCTAAATAGCACAAGAGAAGATTAGGTTCGGGTCACCCTGAGGAAATCAGATTCATTGCAGGCAGCATTGTTCTTTAAATTATGAATTAACCTGCTCGATATTTACATGCTGCATTAATATTCCAGTAAGATAAACCTCTAGCTTTCTTAAATGCAAATTGCTCACCTGTGGAAGTCTTCTCAAACTTGTGGGCTTTCCTGATTAATTTCCTCGCGCGGCGGTTATCAGCAGCAAAGTTCTACAAAGTTTTTGCAGAGTTTTTTTTGCAGAGAAATCGATGGTTGCAGCAGGTTCCTCCTACTCTAAGGTGTAGAAATCTAAGCAAGCTGAAACACACAGCCTGCACAGGAACGCTCAGCGATGCGCGCACACAGAGGTGGGGATTTGACATGAGAGGTCAGTACCTCCTCTCAGGTGTGGGTGTGGTGTTCTCTCCGTTAAAGAGTAATAGATTAGCAGACTTTCCCCCCATTTTTAGCATCATGACATCATGCAGTAACATGGAGACCTTTGCCTTTGCAGAACATGGGGTCATTACTCAAACTCAGGTGCACAAATTGTAAATGCGTTTGCCTTTACGGTGCATTACTTGCATGCATCTGCTTGCGTAAGGGTTTTTCTACTCTTTTTGTATAAACAAAAGACTCAGTAATGTTGCAGTCTGCTGCATTTTAACCTGCATTTGTTGCGTCGCTTGCAGCACAAAATACACGCCTCGAGCTGCCACTCGGTCGCTTTTGTTTTGCTGGCAATTCACTTTGCAAGTTGCAGGGACCGACTACTGAGCTTCTCATTGTTTAATTGGCCGGGCTTAAAAGGTGTCCTGCACAAAGCCGCGGAGAGCACAGCGGGTGTCTGCGTCTCAGGAGTAAGAGCTAAGTTTAGCAAATCCTCTCAGTGTGTTTCTCAATGACAGCACATGTTGGACAGTCTGCAGAGAAACTCACGAACGCGTAACCTCACATGCAAACACGCTGCAGACACACAGGTTCTGTACATATTTACCGATGAACAGTCGGCACACGGTGTACCGCCGTGCACGTGCACACATGCGTATAGCTTTAGAAATGCATGCAAATAAGGGAAATGATCTCTCAGTGCACGGTTAATGAAGGGCTGTTTGAGTGTTATTACTCTTTAACAAACAGATAAACTAGATTTTTTAAATTGTTTTTTGGAGGAAATTTGCACCTGTGCATGCAAACGGAATAATAAAGGTCACAATTTAGCAAAGAGGGGAAAAAAAAAACCTGATGCTCGTTTGCAGGAATGTGTGTCTGACTTTGCAGATAATGACTTATCCCTGTTGGAGAACGTTTATCTCAGGGATAGTCAGAGGTAAGAGGCCTGAGGCTGGCAGTGACTTGCTAAAAGAAACCTGAGCAGGAGGGAGAGCTGGAACCACAGGACGGAGACAGGGACTCGTGTTTTATGTGAAACAGATCATTTATGTGCTGAAGGTCAAGGTGGTTTAAAGACAGAAAAACCCTACAACAAACAGATTTCTTTCTTGCCTGTGATGATTTTAACTGAGACTTGGAAAATAATATCTGTATTCTGATTTAAAAAAAAAAAAAAGACCTGACAAACCGACATCCGTAAGCATCTGAGTCATCTAATGTTGGGTTGTTGGGAGAAGAGAAAAGCAATTCACATGATTACACGACGCTGACGTGGATAGACGGTAGAAAACACCTCCGATGCGACGCTCTCTGCCTCTCATGTGCCATCCACACTATTCCCACCAACTCTGACATTTAGAAAATTGAGCAGGATTGAATATTTACACGACAGAAAATCTCGCCCCGTCAAAAACATCTACTTCATGTTCTCCTCGATCCAGTCTCTGAAGTTTGCTACTCGTGTCTGAACTGTGTGACTCTGCTGCCGGCTGCAGCTGTTTTTCTCGAAACTCTCCAAACCGAGGAGCTGCCAGGCCGCACCAGAGGCTCCACGAGCCTCCTCGTGACCCGACAGGACAGACGAAAGCCCAGCTGGTGCCATCGTGATGCCTGGAATAATACAAGGGCTCGGAGAGCTGGACGCCTTGCTAATGACACACAGTGTATTGTCGCTGAGCGCGGCGGTGTGTGACCCTCCTTCAGCAAACGCTCTCTCACACTGAGCTGCATCACTCAGCTCAACGAGCTTCGTCTGGCTCGCGGCTGTCGAGTGACTCAGGTGCTTGTGACTGTCTGGTAAAATCCACCTCACAGCGTAAGCCTCCTGAGCTGTCACCTCTCCTCCTTGCGTTCGGGGCAGACACACGGGCAGCACTCGCTCGCTGATCTTGGCTTTGTCTTTCAGCCTGAGCACGGCGACGTCGGCATCCGGCGAGGAGGGAAAGTCCGGGTGAACCGAGATGTCTGAAACCTGAGGAGGCCACGAAAAAGTTGGAAGTTAGAAATACCTGCGAGAGCCTGATTCCACACGGAGCGTGCCAAGTGTTGTTGTTCTTGGAAAACGTGTCGAGATCAGATCGTGTGCGTCAAGATGCACAAATACTCCACATCCAAGTCAAACACGCCTCGTATCCCGTTTAAGCTTTAAGTGCACATCTGAACGCCGACGGATTTCTCCCTGTACCGTTTACAAACACAAACTCATCCACAAGATTATATTTATTTAATGAAGACTCCTCGCTTAATACTTTATCGCGGCTGTTTGGGAGGTTTCGCAGCGACGGCAAACTTTAGCGCGCTCTGTCACCTGGAAAGAGAAAGATATAAACCCACCGCACAAACCGTAACGAGCATATTTTTTGGTAATTTGCTCGTTAAAAGGTGTTTAGCCTTCAAGGTCAAAGGTGAGATAATGTTAAACGACAGTTTGCAATGACGAAAGCAAAGTAAAGTCAAAATAAACAATAAGATGTATAAAATGTTAATATTTTATGTAAAGTTGAGTCTACAAACTCTTAATATTTGATCTAGAATTAACATTTTATTATTGCAGATATGATTAGAAGTGTTCAATTATTTTTAATGATCTCAGAGGTAAATCTATGACTTTTAAAGGTGCCCAATAAACACAATTTTTACATAATTTTACAAATAAAACTCGTGTTATTCTTGATATAATCTAACAGTAACAGTTTATTATTATAATTATATTATTATTATATATTATATAACAATAATAATAATATTATGTATATTATAATATGTATTATTATAATTATAATTAATAATATAAGTTTATCAATTAGTTTTTACATTTTTCCAAAGGTAAATCTATTAGTTTCATGGGTGGATAATGGTTTTTAACATTAAAAACTTGTCGATTAGACCTGATTTTTAAGTAAAGTTATATGTTAAAACTCAACAGTGAATTCTTGTTGTTAGAAACTGAATTACCAGTTTTGCAACAATATTTTGGCCTTTTTACAAGATATTTTTATATTGAAATGATCTATTAAAGTCCAATTAACAACTAATAGTCACACTTTTCTTTAATTATTTGTAATATAACTTATTTAAAAAACATTTTTTTACACTTGTAGGTATCATACAGTAAACTAAAATACATTTTAAAAAGATTAAACAACCCAAAACAACAAAAATAATTATGTGTGACGCTATGAGTCATTTTTTAATAGTAGTTTTTATAGTTTTGTTTTGTTATAATGTACAGTGTTGTTGTTTTTTTGTTTTTTTTTTAGATTTTATCATTTTTCTTGCATTCCACCCAAATAGGTTGCAAAATGACAAAATAACATTAGAAAAACTCAGTAAATCCAGTAGTTTTATAGGTGGACAAAGTTTTTTAACATTAGAAACGTGTCAAATATGCAGGATTTCTATGTAAAGTTAAATGTAAAAACTCATACTAGATGTAATCTGAAATCAACAGTAAATTATTGCAATTAGAAACTGAATTAGTAAATAAAAAAAGCCCAACTAACATCTAATAATGGCACTTTCCTGTAGATTTTAGCCTGATTATTAATTTAACATTATTCAGACCTATTTGTTATTAATTTATTACAGCTGCTTGGAAGGTTTTGCAGTGATGGAGAACTTCAGTGTGCTCTAAACTAAAATAATAAGATATAAACCCAGTGCAGGAACCATGATGAGCACACGTTTTGGTTATTTGCTCATCAAGATGTGTTTAGCCTTCAAGGTCAAAGGTGACGTAACGTGAAATGACGATTTCAAGTCATTTAATTCTGCCTTTAAACTGATTTTTCTTGGTTTCCACCTCACCACCTGATCTGAATACTGATATGAGTGGAACACGGACTGGTCCGTACCCTGAGCTGATGCGGGCCTTTCATCAGGTCCCTCGCCGTCTGCTGCTGCAGGCCCACGACAACCTTCACGTGCTGGGGGTGAAGGAGCCGCTGCGTGTCCTTGTCCAGCACACACTGAGCCGCCACCAGGACCCTCCGCTGGGCCAGCAGGGCCCCGCTGCAGGCCAGCACCCAGAACGAGGACTCCTCCGAGGCCCCCTGCTGGTCCGGCATGGCCCCTCCATGGGACCCGTGGCTGCTCCCAGCGTGGTCGGGAGGCGAGCGGATGTAGACGGCAGCGTGCCACGGCCACCGAGTGTCGGAGACGCTGTGTCTGCTGAAAGTGTCTAATTTACCACAAACTGTGAGGAGGAGAGAGAAAGTGCAAACGTTTATTTAACCATTTAATTAACAATCTAATATTGATCAATATTATCATTTAACTCTGTAAGAAAGACGGTAAGATGACTTCCAAAAATGTACAAATCAAGTCTAAATAGGACTTGCAGGATCATGGCTAATATATCATACAGTAAAATTAGATGAAATATATTAGGTTTGTAGATATATATATATATATATATATTGAATTTTTTATTTCACAATCATTACTTTTTTTGTGCTTTTTTTGCTATAATAATAATAATAATAATAACAATATAATAATAATAATAATAATATAATACTACTACTAATAATAATAATAATAATAAAATTACTTTTACTCATGTATATATTTCTCATTCATCATCCAAAACCAAAAACATACATTTAATATCATGTAAAAAAATAACATTATCTGGAAGAAATATCATGAGCAGAATAAGCAATCAACAAAAATGAACCATAGTTAAACTGTACTCTATAAATAATAAATATGTAATTACGTGGATTTTTTCCATTTCTATTTTGTTTTAAGATACATTCACAAATTTATCACAGTTTTGCAAATATTTGAGTTTTATTTAACAGATTAAACTGTTCAATTCCACTTTAATACTGTAAATATATTTATAGAACTGGATAAAATCAGTGACAATTAACAGAAGAAGTTCTGTTGATTCTGTAATTTAAGATTCATTTAAATCTGTCTACATAATTAAATATATTATTATTGTTGTTGCTGCTATATTACAGATAATCTAATTGCGTTTAAACATGTAAATATTCTTCATTAAACATCAAACATTAAAAAACACACATATGATCTCTTGTAAAACTGAGGCTAGAAAATATATTTTAATCATGTAAAATCACTGTATTTTTGTGGGATAGTTATCTTCTGTTATTGTACTTTTTTGTGATGTTTCAACAGCCAGAAAATTACAGTTTTTTCACATTTATAATATATTTTTCTTTTACAGTGTATAGCGTACTGATGACTGTCTCAAAAATCTAAGGAACTAATCATGCAGAGTGGAGCTTTTTGCATTAATTAATCTTTTTTTCAAGGATAATTTTCCAATTCTGACCGGTTTCCTGTAGTGACATTTCCTGAGCACAAAACATCAACATCCTGCTTTAAGTTAATTTATGTAAAGACCAAACCAAGTGTGTTGAGACGTCGTTAACGTGTGAAGACACACTCTGCACGTCTGTATCTGCTGCTCCCACCTGGTGAGCAGGAAACATGGCGTCCGCTCCACCTGCCGGTCTTCAGACAGGTGCGTCTGGAGCCGCCGCTGGTTCGGTACAGCGGCGAGGCGCACCTGTACTCGATGCTCGTGTAGACGGGATGGAAGCCACGAGGAATCTGCTCCGGAGCGACTCCGCCCGACGTCAGAGGGATGAAGCCGGCCGACAGCAAGTCGTGCTCGTTGTACCTGGATGACCTCCGCTCTGAACTCTGTCTGTGGAGGAGTAATGCAGTTTATATTTCTGCTCTCCGACGTGAGCTACAGTTACATTTATAAATCCAAACAGCAGCTACTTTAAGATACTAAAAGGCTGTCTGACAAAAGCACAAGGTCCACTTCCAGGAAATGTTCCAGCGTTTTCAAATGCATCTTGCGGCCTTCATCAGCAGATGGAACAAAGCCCATTTGCTATTTTCCCGTAAATACACTTGTTGCTCTTTTTTCTTCTTCTTTTTCAAACTACTACTTCCAAGGTCAGCACTGAACATCTGCTTAAAGGTGCACCGCCTGATTGATTTTAGTGCTCGTAAAATTTCATCAGCGGAAATCTGTCAGCTTTTGATGCACAATGTTCGTCTCTGCTGTAAAACTACTCTCGTGTTATTGGACTAAATCAGCCACTCACGATGGAACCAGAAGCTAATTCTCAAAAAGAATAAATGACGTGCACGGTACACGGTAAAAACTACAATAAATGTGAAAAACTTCTGGCTGTTGAGGCACCAAAATCCCACAATGCATCAAAAAAACAGTAATTTTACACGATTTAAATATATTTTGGACTCCACTGAGGAGGATGTTAGCCAACTCTTTATTTTCTCCTCACAGGTGCAGCAAACTCCATCATGTAACACTGTTTCAGCTCCTTCAGTGTAACCTCATAGCTCCACAACAACATCGCTTAATCACTTTTTTTTCCCGCAACAGCATCATCTGACACCTTTTCCTTCCTCCCTATAACTCTTCCGGTGTCTTAACACTGTTTTTTTTTTCTCTACAGCTCTTCATAAACAGTTTGCTGCCACACAACCCAACAACTGGATGTAAAACTCTGTTCTGTCTCTGCAGCTCTTCCAGATCGATCAACAAGATATAACACGGTTCTCTTACAGCTCCTCATGTGTAATAACATCATGGTTAACACTCGTCTTTCCCCCAGTAACGTTTCTTATGGCAGCAACAGACCTGTAGGTACATTATCCTCAAGGTCAAACTTGTACATACTCATCAAGTCATATGTGCACATGTCCATGTTTAAACTCATCATACCTGGTATATTGTCTCTATGAAAGCTTTATTATTACATTTTTATTTTTATTTTTTTAGCCAACTGAATGAATAGTAATAGTATGCAACAGTATTCTGGCATTTTTACAAGATTTTTATTATTATTATTTTTATTTTTTAACATTGAAATTATATAATGGAGCCAAACTAATGATGACATTTTTCTGCAATATTAAGATTTTTTTTTTTTTTTTTTACACAGGTACATATTCTTAAGTGAACATTTTAAAAAAACAAATGAAGAAAAAAATAGATTTTTATTTTTATTTTTTTGGTTAATTTACAATATTTTTTGGGGGTGTGCCAGATGCCAAAATATTACTTTATTGATTTATTTATTTTACTTTTTTTTTTAAACTACAGTTTTTTGAGATATGAAGAGTTCATTTGCAAAAGCAGATAACTCCATTGTCACAAACCTTCAGAAAACCCACTTTTCCATATCAATCAAACTGAAGTTATCTCTATTTTTGTCATTTCTACTGAGTCAAATCCACTCAACTTCAGTTTCACTGATATTATCTCAAGCAAAAAACAAAAAATCACTTTCTACAAAAATGGAGTTGTCTGTTTTTGCAAACGAACTCTTCATATTTGAATTTTTCTCCAAACAAAACCTGCAAAATAACATGAAACAATAAATCCCACATAGTGGCTTTCAGTGAGCTGAAATCACACAAAGAGGATACCTTGTCAGCAGGTGTGGCTTCACAACACTTTGCCGCACAAGATCCGACACTTTGGGTTCTCGGCAGACTGCAGGGGCGAAACGAGAGAGTCGGTAACACGCGTGATGGTTTGCAGAAGTTATTTACACGACAAACACGACTGATTCTTAGCTTAAGACATCAGAGACGAACTTCCATTATAAGGAAAAATTCACAAGCATCACTGACTTGTCTGTCAGAATGTTAATATGTGTCCAGGTAAGTTGTGATATCGCTGAAATACGAGGACTCACTATATGTTGGAAACATTGTGTGCTGTCCCCACACAGCCATGGAGAGGAAAAATAGGCTGCTTTATATATGTGTGTGTGTGTGTGTGTGTGTGTAACAGTATGTTCCCACCCAAATGTGTTTTGGAAAACAGCTACCTTTCACACACTTGGGTGACCCGCTACTCCAGGATCCATTAGAGAGGCAGGTACTCTGGTGGTTACCACTCAAAATGTAGGAGTTTTTACAGAAAAACTCAATCGTCTCTGCGCCTCCGACTGTGGCAGCAGCAGCTCTGTGGTAGCCGTGGAGCAATTTGGGCGGAGGGACACACCGGAGTGGGCTTGTTTGGCCTGTACGGGGACGAAAAGAGAAAAAAAGTCTCCAAATAAATTCCTTGTGTGGTTTTTATATAGATTCCAGTAACACAGAATAGGACCCATATGGGGGGAAAAGTACCTTTTGCACATGAGGGGACTGAGCCACTCCATGTGCCATTAGCCAGACAGCTCCTCTGCTCGCCGCCGGTCAGAATGAAAGGTGGATGACACCGGTGGTTCACTAACACAAGCTCCTCCTTTGGGCCATACACAGGCAGCAAATATCCATTCAGGGGTTTTTCTGGCAGTGAACACGCTGCAGTCTTCGTAGCAGAAACTGTGGAGACATTTTCTGGCCGTTATAAGTGAAAGACAAACCAGAAAAGCTGATCCGAAAAAACATCGTCCAGGTGATTAGAATGATATTTATCTGGATTTAAACAGCACTTCAGCGACAAAGTGCTGCCCAGAAACAGCAAAATAAAGCACACAGGCGTACATTAGTCAGGATTTAAGAAAGAAATATGTATTTAAAGAAATTTAAATGACATTAGAACAAATAAAAGACAGATTTAAGCAAATTAAAATGTTATAAAATCAGGAAAAGTCCTCCAATAAAAGTATGTTTTTAAGAAGTGAGGATTTTTACTGCTACAGTTTTGGGATATTTTGTTTTTTTATTAACATAAATTAAGTAAAACTGATTATAGAGTCTGAAATTCTCATTCTGCAAATGTCTGGTTGTAGTAATTTGGACACAACATTATTTTTTATTCTATTTTTCAGCAATATTTGTCTAATTAGTAACAAAACAAATATGCTTGGTCATGTCATTCCTTTAATTTACTTATTTTATTTGAAATATGAAAGTTATCTTGCAAAGATTGCAGCTCCCTCAACTGAAAATCTGCTAGATTTTAATAAATTAACTTGATTTTGTGCTTAAATTTGACCTCTACCTGATATAAACAGCACAGCATCATCTGCATAAACAAAGAGCCCAGATAAGCTTTAAAATCAGCGTATGCGGTCAAAAGGAACAGTGGCTCCAGGATGCTGCCCTGAGGAACTTATTGAAGCATTCTTTACAGAAATATTCATATGTAATGCTGCACTGCTTTGACTTGTTCACGTTCGTAGGCAGGAGTTGATGCCTCTGAGGGAGAACACTGGCTGAAAGTGATGCAACTTAGATGCATGATTTGCTTCAAAGAGAAAACGGGGAGGAGACGAGCAGGAATGATAAATCTGTGTCATTGACCGTCCGTCTCACATCGCTGCTTTGTGCACGGAGGCTGCAAGAAACAGCAGCGAACGTCCCGCATGCAAACGGTGAGAGCTGTTGCTGACTGTCAGAATAAGAGCAGCTGCACAGAACATGATCCAACACAATGGACTCAACAAAGGCTTTCAAAGGGGGAGTGTCTGTTTGGAGGTTAATGTATTGGATTGCATTATACTGAGTGTTTTTGTACTTGGTCTGTCGTGTATCCATGGAGTGCACAAGTTATAAATGCTGCCAGTGATTCTACCTGAAACCTCCTGAAAAGTCAGAACAAATCCGTCAAAGTTGTTGTAGCCGTCCGAGACGAACAGAATGTGCACGAGGTTCCCGGAGCTTTTGATTGGAGGAGGCAGACGATCTCCGCAGTATCGGCCAATCACGGGGGAGTTCAGGTCGTCGCCGTCTCGCACTTCCACATAGTCGTAGCGACAGTTGTGGTCGGACTCCAAACTGAGCAGCGAAAACCTGCAGCGCAGTAAAAAAATAATTACATTTTTCAATTTCAGAATTGTGTAAAAAGTCTAAATGACAAGCAGGACTCGGTCTGCTTTGACCTTAACCATCGTTTGACAGACCGATAGCGAGCTGATCCCCACAGAGCCAATAGAAAAGCACATAAAAACAAAACAAATCCTCTGTCTCGGTGTTTCCTAAAAGGCGGGATTAGCGTTACACACAGATAGGTCCTCTTAGTGTCAGTCCAGATGCCAGATTTTGAAGGGATTTCCAGATTTGACTCATCCCGCTAACTTCGTCAACTGTTTATTCTGAGACTGTTTATGTGTCAAATCATACTCCAATATTACGCCGGGAGACAAACACAAAAGCTTATCAGCAAAATAAAACAACGCTCAACTCGCTCATTGGGAATTCTTGCCACGACTTGAGCTTAAATGTCACTTCTAACTTTGAAGAGTCTCGACTCCGGCCCTTTTGTTTAATCCCGTCACCATCTCCAGCCTGCTTGACTCAGCATTGTGTCATCTGCAGTCCTTTTTAATAACACATTGTTACTCGAGGTCACATTAATCAGCGCGGAGCTTTGTCGAATGAAGACTCATTAAATTTCTGGTGAAACGTCGTCTGGTTGAACACCAGAGCCTCGGTAGAGTCGCCTACCTGAGCTCCACGCTGCCGCCTCTCCCCACCTGCACTGTCCACTCGCACCGGGCGTTGGTTGGGTAACTCTCCAGGGCTACGTGACCCTGAGCTCGCTGAAGGACGCCTCCACACGCTGCCCACAGGAGAATAGTAATTACCTTCACTTAGTAAATGCACATTCCCATCCAGTGTGTTTTTATCACAGTGGAGCCGAGTATTTTGGCTGCTGCAGGCATGCTGTGTAAGAGAGGGCTGATAATACCCCAAAATTTATGAAATGATGGGACCCGAGCAGCCACTTGAATAATAACGATTATTACCATCCTGCTGGTGTTCATGTGTGAGGACTAAGAAAGAAAAAAAAAAACACACACAACAAGATACGGGAAAATTCTCCAAATTGATATCCAAAAAGGAAGCAGGGTTGAAAGGTTCAGGCTTTTAGCGTATTTCAGAATAAAATTAAACAGCTCGGTTTCTCTATTATACACTTAGAAAGTGCACAAAAGAATTTGCACAATGGCTCCAGGCCTTCTCTTGTCTACATCAAACTGACAGAGAAAGGCATCCAAAGTGGCATTTTTTACCCCCCCAGGGCCATGAAAAAAAAAAAAAAAAAACAGAGGATGGAAAAATACCACGAGAGTGAATAAGAGGAGGAGTGGCAACTTAGTCAACCTGTTTTTTACTCCTTCATAGTGTGATGCTGCGGCGGGCTTTACGTGTTTGATTTAAACGATTTCGCTGCGACAGTTGTTGTATCATAATGCCAATAATTATATTTTCAAAAGAAGACGAAGGGAAAAAAACATGACTCCTTGTCATTATTTCAGTATTTTCGGTGAGCTACCAACAGATACCAGCTGCTGCAGCTCAGCAGCAGCAAATAAAAAAAGCGCTGTCGCCCCCAAGTGTCTCTTTCAGGTATTGCAGCCGAGCATGTAGCAACCTACAAACTGATGCACAAATTAACGGCAGAGCTCCTCACAGATAATAAAGAGGTTTATCTCACATTACATCATGTTTTCTTACCTCATATGAAACTGAATAAAAAACCTTTACAACAATTTTTTTTAAAGCCGCAAAAAAAAACAAAATTTCAAAACTTTTTTTAAGAAGGCCCCGGTTTTTATTTCATCCTTACACATGGTGTCAATGTAATGTACAATACTTCTCTCCATTATTTTACTATCATGTGTGATATTACTCATTTCCTCAGTATATTTGAAAGCATTACTTTTTACTGTTAGCCTTGGCTTAGTCATTTTATTTTAGTATTTACATCTTATCGTGCTGCATTTCTTATGTTAGGTCATCTGTTTTTTCACTAAACAGTATCTGGCACAAGAATCTCCTTCAGGAATAAACCTGCTTTATCTTATCTCAACACAATGGTGGACAAATGTGATCTAAAATGAAAATCTAATGGACAAAAGCGATCGAGGATTCAGGCAAAAATCATAGATGTTGGATAGAAGCATGTTTTGGTTAAATGTGGTGCAGCTGTTCAGTTCTTCATATATCTGACATGTATGTACAGTTTGATGCCTGTTTCCTCCTCAGCAGCGTTAGTCTGGAGGCCTCACGGCGACTCTGCACTAAATCACTTTGACTCACTTTTACAGTCCCCTCCGCTCCAGCCTTCTCGGCACTCTGTGCAATACTTTCCATTGACGAAGAAGTCATCATTAGCTCTCCATGTTCCGTTGTGGCAGGTTTTACAATTCTCAAAAAGGCTGCAGCCTGCCGAGGACAAAAGCAGAAATCTTTTTTGATACTTTGAAGTGGATTTAGTTATTTATAACACCTTAGAAATTCAGCTTATACTGAAAAATGTGTTTTTTCCAGCAAAAAATATCATCTAAAAACACAAAACTGTGTGTTTTCTGGTGTCTGAAAGCAGCAGCAGAAGAAGAGCGTGAGCAGCAAACAGCAGAGACCTCACAGGTTAAACACACCTAGAAGTGACAGCGTACCTGGGTGAATGATGCAAGGGTCACACTGATCCACAGCGTTGCGGCAGCAGGGCACCGTGTAGCCCACCTTGGCCCCGTTGGAGGGACACCGACACCGGATCAGGTCGTACTCGCAGCACGGGCGACACATGACGTTCCACTTAGAGCTCGGGCAGTTGTCTCCTGTCAGAGCTGTGGAGGCAAAAAACACAGAAATCTTTAACTTAACAACCACCTCAGGATGTCTTACACTTCAGATTTTTGGTCATCAGACCACAATGTAGTCATTTACAGCTAATAATCGATGTGTTTATGTGATTATGGGAAAGAAGTGAGCAGGGAAGAGGCACAGTTTTGTCCTTTTAATGTGATCTGATGATGCAAATGAGACTTTCTTGTAAATCAGATGTCATATCTGAGTTGTCCTGGTTTACCTTGACCAACAATAAGATTCAAACCCAGTAGAGATGCCAGTTTTTCTCTTTTTTTCGAACCCAACTTGAATATGTCAGTGAATTCTGTTTTGTGTTATTAGTCAATCAAACCACAATATTACTACTAACATTATCTCAGGTTTAATTCTACTCATAGACAGCAGGATTTCTGTGCTGAATAAAATGCAACAGCCTCCCAGAAATTGAAAACTCAGCAATACGTCCAAAGTCTCATTTCAGTGACTCTGAAGGCAAGTCTCAGACAAGCAGAAGAAGTGACTCATCATGGTGAAATAACTCCACCGTTAGTCAGCAACTAAGCCAACGCGCTTGTTTCTTGTTAAATGTTTGCAGCGTCTTCACAAAGAAAAGATAAAGCTTGTGTACAGCCTTTAAATCAAACCTGCAGCGAGTGCATGTTTACCTACCGTGTGGCCACCCGCTCACACAGAAACACAGATTGAGCAGGAGGCAGGAGAGTTTAGGCTCCGCAAGAAAGAACTTGGGCACATTCCTGGTGGGAAAAGTGAGCATGTCGGCTGCCAAACTACCAGCAACAAACTTCCAAAGAAATTCCAAGAAAGCCACCCGAGCTTCGGCGTTATCTACAGTCTGCTTTAAAAAAAACCCGTAACGTGGCTGTGAATGATGGATTTTCCCATCTGAGCACAGAGATGCTTTAACCCGTTCCTCCCATTAGCTTTTCATTTGCTCTGAAACGCTTCAGTTCAAATCAGGTCTGCTCCTTTGCTCTCCTGAGTCCCGAGTGAACGGCAACGAGGGAAAACTGCTGGCAAAGGAAGCGGAAAGTGCATTTGGGGGGAATAAAGACATGCTAATGAGAAAAACAGTGACGAGTGATGAGGAAAGTCCAGAGGAAAAAAAAAAGAAAAGAAGTCAGTTCAGGGAGAGGTTGTGAGGAAATTAGGAACAGGAATGATTCTCTCTGCATCTGCAACGGGAGATGTTCAGAATTATTCCTTTGTTGTGGAGTAAAGACAAGAATATCTGCACGAAACGTGTTTGCTTGAGCTGTCGTAGTGACAGCATCCTCCCAGACAGACACCAGATGTCGTCTGTAGTGATGCTGTGAGATGTTTATGATGTCATACCTGGATGAGCCTGCAGGAACGAGCATCGGTACAGGCCAGCTCATGTCCGAGGTTCGCTTTTTCCATGACTTCAGCCTTCGTCTGGGCGGTTCAGCGTCATCTTCTTCCTTTACAGCAGGTTATCAGCACACGGATACATACGTCAGCTGTCTTTTATGGTTCACTAGAACTGCTGCCTTTAGAGTTTTTGACTCACTAACTCCTGTTCTTTTATTGCTCTCTCATTACAGGTGCACATACTGTCTGCATCTAAAGCTACAAATATCTACATACATTCACAATAGGAGGAATTAAACAGGGATAAAGGGAAACATTTACCTTGTCTCCTAAGATAAATACAGATTCAAGTCAGGGATAATCTGAATAAGATGTGGTTTTAATCTTGTTTGTTTTTCCATAAGCTTCTCTGTTAAAATTCCTTTTAATCCTCTGAACACAAAGCAGGTTCTTTTTCTTTTTTCTTTTAATTTGCTCCTGTTATATTTTTACTCACTGTGGGCTGCAGTACACAGTCTCGTACCTCTATGGAAACAGCACAGCCTCGGCTAGAAGACGAAATGAAAAAACAACTTATTAATGTGTTCTGTGAAGTATAGCGAGTTATAATGCTGCAAGTCGAATTTCTTTGACAATTTGTTTTACAAAAATGGAAAAAAAAAACCTTTGTAATCACAAAATGTTTACAATTCAATAAGAATGTGGCCCCACATGCTGGACGCAGTCGACTATTTGCTTCTTTTCAACCTCTACAAACTTTTATTTTTCACTTTCCACATCAGCTCGAAAAAGATGTTTCACATCTAAATGCTAAATGTTTCCTCAAATCACTTGCTGATAACTTGCTCCTCATTTTTAACCATGTTGGTTGCAGTTGAGTCACTCATGGCATCTTGTTTTATTCTTTGTTTTTGTTTTACAGGATTTGGTTGGTGCAGGTGGTTGTTTTTGGCATTAAAATAGTCAATTTGATTAAAACCTTTTAGGCTCGGCCCTGTGATAGACTGGTTACCTGTCCAGGTGAACCTGCCTTCACCCTGAGTCAGCTGGGATAGACTCCAGCTCCCCATGACCCTAGTGAGGATTAAGTGGTGTAGAGATGATGGATGGATGTATTTTAAGCTCAGATTGAGTTAATTTTCCTGACAGAGCTGGGTGTCTCACATTGTTTGTTCAAGGAGGGCTGGGAAGTGGAACAGCTGACAGTTTTTTCTGTTTTTGTACTTTCATGCTGTGATGCACGGTGTAATTTTGCAGATTTTTTAAAATTATTTTTACATGTTTTAAATTTAATCCACATATGTAAAACAGATGAAGCTATACAAACATCCCCCACTACAGTTTACAGCCCACTCAGTCCACATCATGCTACCTTCAGTCATAAATAGATGTAATACCTCCTCTCTGTACAAGTCGAACACAAGTCAAGATCACATAGTTTACACAGATACCAGCAACAATCCTGAATTCTGACTTCTCTCTAATATTTACTAAGTGAGCAACAAAAAAAAGCAACAGATGGAAGTAAATTAAATACAAAAAAGAAAAGAAAAAGAGGTGTTTAGAGCCTGTATTATCGGTTTCCATCTTCTCTCAGATTTTTCTAGTTTCAACTGTAGTCTTGCTGTCGTTTTTTTCCATAATAAAAACCTTTTTTACTCTGTCTGTGCATTGCATTATTTGCAGATTTTTAAAAATATAATATGCCTACAAGCCAAAGTTTCAGAGGGTTAAAGCTTCATTTGTAAACTTTGGACCACTTACAGTCAGACGATCTACACCAGGGGTGTCGACATCCGGTCCTGTTTCAGATGTTTCCTTCTTCCAACACACCTGATTCAAATGATCAGGATCGTTATCAGGCTTCTGCAGAGCTTGATAACGATGCTGATCATTTGAATCAGGTGTGTTGGAAACATCTAAAACATGCAGGATTGCGGCCTTCGAGGACCACAGTTCGACACCCCTGATCTACACAATCAGTTGATGATGACAGTCTTGGAATAATAAAACCTGATATTAATATATTTTGTTATCAGTACAGAATCGACTATTTACACATCCAGCAGACATGGAACTATGAAAAAACGTTTTATATTTACTCCCTTGGTTTGGTGTCCATCAGTTCCTATGAAACACCGACTGGTCATTATGCTGCTAAATGTGTGACTTCTCTTCACAGGCCTACGTTTTTCTGGACGCCTTCTGGTACCGAGCAGCCGACACAAAAACCCGTCCAGCTCGACTTAGCGTGACGCGTTGGAGGAAAAAAATAGGTGAAAATTACAGACGTGTCAAAGAAAATGAAAGCCGTAATTAGCGCCAAAGGTGCTCACACAAGTACAGATATTAGAGTACACATCAGTGTAAATTTAGAAATAATTATTAAGTCATGTTTATCATTCAACATAAAAAAAAGTCAGTGTGGCTGGAAAACTGTGATCACGTCTGAATCACACTAAAGAGAAAAAAAAGTCTTTTAACTTGTGTCCACAAGAAAAATGGAAATGAACGTCAAAATTCTACTTCAGTCCAAACATCTCTGGCAACAGTCCTGGACAAAATGTGCAGTAATTAATTTACTTGATAAAACTTTTTCCATGGAAGCTGTTACCAGAGCCTCCAGGTCCCGGCGGCCTCATCAGCCTCATCCTTCATGCAGCAGCTGTTTGGAGAACAAAAAGACAACGTTAGAGACAATCTGCAGACATTTTTCCAAAGATATAATTTTTTAAAAAGAGAGTAATTATTGAGCTTACATTAGTCATAGAGTCACAGCTGGGTTGATCTATAAACAACTGTTTTATCACATTTTTAAGATGATATGGTGCTGGATGATGATTTAAAGGCCACTTCTAGAGAAAACCCACTTTCTTTGTCACCTTGTCAACACGTCCGTATGTTGGGTTTTTTTTATGCTTAAACACACATTAATGAGTGAAATAAGCCGTTAACGCCAAAGTGGAGCATCTTAAATGGATTCAGACAAGAAAATAATCCTGTCAACTTGTGGATTTAAACTTTCTGTATCATTATTCTTTTGCAAAATCGGTTTCTGGTTCCGGGCTGCAAGGTGGAGCAGTGGTTAGAACCGTCGCCTCGCAGCTAGAGGGTCGCCAGTGAGGACAGCCGGGATCTTTCTGCGTGGAGTCTCCATGTTCTCCCCGTGCAGCGTGGGTTCTCTCCGGGTTCTCCGGCTTCCTCCCAAAACAAGCTGAGGTTAATTGGTGATTCTAAATTGTCCGTAGGTGTGAATGTGAGTGTGCTTGGTTGTCTGTCTCTAAGTGTAGCCCTGTGATAGACTGGTTACCTGTCCAGGTGAACCTGCCTTCACCCTGAGTCAGCTGGGATAGACTCCAGCCCCCCAAGATCCTAGTGAGGACTAAGCGCTGTATAGATAATGGATGGATGAGTTCCAACATTTAAGGCTGAATTATTCAAACATTACAACTTGCCTTTGTGTAGAGCCATAAATGAGCTTCTGTGACTGTTTTAATGGGGGAAAAAAAAGCTTCTAAATATGCAACTCTGATCCACAGAGACGAGTCTTTCGGGGTTAAATCAAATCGCTTAAACATGAAGACATTAAATACATAAAATAATGTGACACACACACCCTGGGAGTGTGTTTCTACACGCATCTGAACCCAAAGCATCACAGCAGCAATCAGCTCCCCATCACGGCGACCGGCACTCGGCGCTGACGGACGGGAAGCAACACGAGCGACTGCTGGTGATACTTGAACCCTTTGAACTGCCAATCACGGCTGAAGATTTCTCCTCGTCCCGTCGCGTTGAACCCGACCCGGGCAGACGCGAGGAAGAAAAGACGAGTGGGGGGCGGCGGGTGGGATTATGTATTCCACATTATGACACACTTATAAAACTTTCATTGGTGTCACAAGGCCAAACTCACTGTCGAAATGAGTTCTCGACATCAGAGACCGATGTTTTTTGGTTCATGTAATTACCCACAGTGCTCTGTCTGCTATTTTTAGCCCCCTTGTTGCTCAGAGAAATATTCCGTTTGGAGAGCGTCTCGTCCAACCGCCGCCGCAGCATCTATTGACCTTCCTCGTCTCCATCCAATGACAATGACCCGAGCCACTCGCGTTGGCAGCAGCCGAACAAAGAGGAGGAAACAACAGCAGCGTTTCACCGTAAAACAAACAAACAAAAATCTACGTTTAAAGTTCAGTCTGACTCAACAGATTCTCCCCAAACAACACATGTTCAGCAGCTTCACTTCAGTAGAACGTCTGGAGCAGGGGTGTCGACATCCGGTCCTCGAGGGCCGCAATCCTGCATGTTTTAGATGCTTCCCTCTTCCAACACACCTGATTCAAATGATCAGCTCATCATCAAGCTCTGCAGAAGTCTGATAACGATCCTGATCATTTGAATCAGGTGTGTTGGAAGAAGGACACATCTAAAACATGCAGGATTGCGGCCCTCGAGGACCGGATGTCGACACCCCTGGTTTGGAGGGTTCTTCAGCAACACACACGTCTGTTTGGGCGAAAGAGCTCCAGAAGCAGCAAGAACGAAAAACTACCAGAGTCACGCACGTCGCCAGCAGACATACAGACATCCTCAAATGTATTCACAGCCTCCCATTAAAGAAGGAAAAAACAGCTGCTGTCACTGAAATAAGTTGAAATTGACAAAAGTAATAATAAATAAACATTTAATGAAAATCATGACATTGCTTTAAATTGTGGTTCAACAGTAATATTAAAAAAAAAGAAGAAGAAAAAAAGAAGCAAACAAGCATGATGGGACGCATAAACTAATATTTAGTTATATATTGTAGTTATATTTATTTAGTAGTCTCAGTCAGACGTCTGCACCTGTTGACAGGTGTTCTGACTCGCTGCTCATCAGCAAAGTGCTCCAATTTGTGTGGGACACTTGCTTGTTTTTTAAAAATTATTCTTTTCAACCACAATTCAAAAGCAATGTCCTATTTCACTAAATTATAATTTAGCAAATTTTTATTTATTATTACTTTTTTCCAGTTTCTAGCTATTTGAGTGATTTTTGTGAATTTTGCCTTTTCTTTAATGGAAGGGGATGAACACACAAGAAAATCAAAGCGTTGAAAAAATGGACAATATAGACATATTGCAAATAACTGTTAAGTCTTTTTCTCTAAATGTTAAATCTTCAAATGTAAATATGTCAAAAAGTTATAACAGTTTTTCTCAAAACTGCTGGATTCACAGTCAGAAATTAACCTTTAGGCTTAAAATAAAAAAGCATAGAGAGCTGCAGACATAAACACTAACTAATGAACTGAAGAAACTTTTTACTTTGCTTGTATTTTTACTTATATGTTGCTCTTTTCTTACAGTTGTACTTATTATTATCAGGCTTTAAAAAAAAAAAAAAGAAGAAGAAAACGGGACCTGAGTACCAATCTCGTAAACGTGAGCTGTCATGACAATAAAAGCTCCTTGAATCCTTGAACACTTGAACTAAATAATAACTTTTGTCATTAAGTTAATTACAATCTGGTATTTAAGGGGGTTAATCAGTGACGAGGAAGGAACTTCAAGGAATTAAAATTAAATTTCAAAGCAACTTTACCAGAAGTTGACCACAAATGTCAAGCAAGTAATAGGAAAAGTCAGAGAAGGTCTTTAGAATCCACCTTGAACACCTTGGATGTCTGAGTTATTCCAATATTTGCAGCTTGCAAGTAGTTTTAGTGTTTGACCAGAACAGTGTGCTTAATCTGCAATAATGAGAAAGAGGCAACATCCAAGGCATTTCAAGGCTGCAAGAAATCACTATCACGGGGAAAAAAAAAGGAATTATTCTGTTCTTTAGGCTTCTTTTCAAACATTTCTGATGTTTGAGGCCAACTTCTCCACGTGAATGTGATCCACTGGTCCGTGGTGAGATGTTACGATTAAAACCAACTATAAAATAAAACACAATGTGTGATGCCTTTCAATGCACCAAAAATCTAATTCCTCACTCAAGGAAGAGCTCCGATGCAACAAGCCGGCCTTAAACACTTGAAGCGACACAGAGAATTAACTGTGAAATGACAGATAATAAAAACAATCACATTTTATTTAAACAAGAATGCCAAAATATCACATTTATAAATAAAAAAAAAACAAAGTTTAAATCCTTCCTTAGGTTCTGTTTTTGTATAATTGAAATGCTGCAGGACTTTTTTTTTAACAAGCTAGCTTAAACAGTCGTTCTCCTCGACCTTTGTCAGGCCGGTGAACTCTTTCCTTGCACACACAACCTGCCGTGACAGACGCCGTCGGTCCTACTTCAACCGCAAGAACACAACACGTGAAACTCGAGTCCTGAATATTCCGACGGGTTCTCTTTCAGTCTGGCCCAGTTCTGCTCTGAAATGCTGACACACGTTTTGAAAGAATCGATACCCACAATTACTTCGATTTAAAATCTGGCTCAGCTCAAAAAAACACGAATAACAGTTCAAACCTGCGACGGTGTTTTCTGCGAGGACAAAAGGCCTTTTGTGTTTCTCGTCCTCCATAAAGCCCAGGATATTACAGACATCCTCGGCCTTTGTTCCTATTTGGGATAACAGATAAGTTCCTAGCTGAAGGCGACGCCGTCATAGTGACCTGCATTATTAAAAGGGCAACACTTTAAATGCTTAAAATCCTCTTTAGTAAAAATATTAAAATCAGGATTAAGCAGCCAGTGTAGAAAAGTTCTTATTTTTACACCACTAGTGACTTCAACGCCCGCTCTGGGAGCAAAAACTGCATCCTTTAGTTGTGGACTAGACCATAAAATGTAATCATAAGTCATAAAAATAATTGTAAAAAAAGGCCCCGAAAAGAATCGCTTTAAACCGCCCGACCAGATCAGTCATATTCTAATCGCTACTTCAATTTACATTCCTGTGGATAAAAGCTGAAGGTTCCTCTGATGGCGTCTACACTCCCAGGCTGCCTTTCTCCCCGGGCAGCAGTTTCTCTTTGGCTAAATCCTGAGGGTCCTTGCGAGGGCTCCTCTGCATCTCCCGGGACTTGACCCAGGTGTAGGCGGACGAGCCGCCCAGCACCATCATGTTGCTGGTCCACCACAGCAGGCTCTTACTGGACGAGTTGTACACCACCGCGATGACGGTCTGCGCGCACGCCTTGGCCGTCCCCGACACGTTGTGCGTGAGCGGGCTGGTGTACTTGATCTGGAGGCCCGTGACGTAGCCGATGGCGAAGCCGAACACCCCGCCCAGCGTCATCATGCCCCAGAAGCCGAGATCGGCGAGGCGGCTGAAGGTGGCGAGCCGGCCGAGCTCCCCGAACACCAGGATGAGGGGCAGGAAGAGGACGCAGGCGTTGATGTTGTTGTAGTAGGACAGCTTCCAGATGTTTCCGTCCACCGCCGGCATCACCTTCTTAGTGTAGATGGCGTTGAGGGAGACACAGGCGCTCGCAAGAACCCCAAAAAACACCCCGGACCAGGAGAGGGACCCCGTCGTTCCTTCCTGGTCCACACCGAGCCAGAACCCACCTGGAGGACACATGAAGGACTCAGACGTTACAGTAAACCAACCATGCCAGTGATTAATCATTAAAACCGAATCAGCCTTTATAGACAAGATTGTAAACGCTGATTGAAACTCCAGCTGCAAAAATTAAACCTTTGTTTCCAAAACTGCTTCATTTGTCGGCTAAATGGAGTTTGTTGAAGGGAACAGTTTTTAAAAAAGTGCCTATTAACAAGTTCTCAGAGGCAAAAGTCGCATCATTTTTTAAAGGAAAATTGTTTAAAACCCAAATTACATTCAGAATATAACAAAAGGATTGAATGCAATTAAAGAAAACAGAAAAACTAATTGTCACTTTTGAGAGACTGTGAATGCCTGCTGCTGTGTTTGTTTGATGAATCGCTAAAAAAAGTAATTGGTGACTGACGAATGTTTTCTTCCCCGACTATGTGTCACGTCATCACGCTGTGGAGCAACTTCCTCAAATCTTCTAAACTGGGATTGAAATGGCGAAATAATAAAGAAATATCAGGCACTTTCCTCACAAAAATGGAATCTTCTTCTTCTTTTATTGATCTATTTTTGTAATTTGACACCCTTCCTACTCCACATCACTGTGCCACACAAATATTCTCTTAAATACAAATAATTAATATCAATTAAAAGGTGCAGCATTTAGAAAATGAACCACTTGAACTTGGCCTTGCTGTCTGGTAGAGGTTGGATAAGTTTGTGTTTGCTATAAAGGGCTTCAGCTGGATGAAATGCGAGCGAGAGGGAATTTTGTTAGTTTCCATCCAGTCCACCTGTGTTTGTCCATCATCGCTGTAGCTACCTGAGAAACCCTGGAGTTCCTGAACTGAGGACATTTTAAAGACAGTAGAGGGTCTGGTTGGGGTTGTTCTGAGTTCTGCACACATTAGAAAGCTGTTTGCTACACATGTGTACTGAGTCATGTACCTTTACAGCCCTGAGAGCATTAATGGTTAAATACGAAACTGTAGTATGGGAGTGTATGATTACTGAGCTCTCACACTGACACAGTTTCGTCTCTTCTACAAGCAGAATTCCTATCATTGTCAGGTAAGGTTTTGGTTTTCATGTTCCACCCCAGGATGCTCAGCAGCCCCAGATGGCCTCTGAGAAAGTTCTGGAGGCGCCCCTGTTCTGAAAGGATGAACTAGATTCATTTTTAGTCGCTGACCTATTTCAGAAAAAAACATCTTAATGATACTGTCACTTGTCAAACAGACACAATATCATCACACCCAGTAAAAAAATAGATCCATCCATCCATCCATCCATCCAAGCAGGTCATTTTCCAGTAGCTTCCAGTAGTTTATGCAATATCTGCTTCATAATATTGTAATATTTACATTTCATGAGCAATATCCCATCATCATGTGTGATCCCACTTTACTACTTTAAAAGCATCGTCTGTTTTACCTCCTACGTTTCCATTCTAGTCGTATTTTAGTTTTATTTTGTTGTGATTATTGTTTTTTTTCCTGTGCACTCATTAAAAAAGTGGATCTGATTTAGTTATACCGGTGGCATTATTCTGAAAGCATCCCCACTTTAGTTGCAGCACATCAAACTTTTGCACAATACCGCGTGTTTAGAAATGCAGAGAATGAGTTAAACCTTGTGATAACTTTAAAGGTTTACACAAACAAATAAAATAATCTTAGTTATAACATACTTCCAGTGGCACAACAACATATAATACGATATGCAACTGGAATAAT